TCTGATGCAGGCCAGAAGTGAACATAAGGTCATGGGGGGAAGAGTTTAAAGATATCAAGAAAAGTTCGAAAAGCTCGAATTGGTCGAGCAAGTTACCTCGAGCTTATTGGAAGGGAAATCCAGATGTTGCTTCCCCTGTTCGTACCGAGTTGCTGACTTGCAATCACTCAATAAAGTGGGGTGCTCAGATCATGCGTCAGGTTCAAACTGGAACCCTCAATTTCTCTTGCTGCATTTTTGTATTATAAGTGAACGATTAATTGTTGAGAAGTGAGATAACCATTCTGTTGATGGCAGGACTGGGATCAAGAAGCAAGAGATGGTTTTGAGCAGTCCAAGCTATCCAACCAATGCAACCACCGGTGAAGATTCTTTTGAATAGTTAACCAAATTCAGCTATTAGGAGACGTAGACATGTCAGTTTTGTTGTCTTAGCTGAGCCCACCATGTGTTTGTCTGCTTCTACAGGTATAAAATCTATGCTGAAGGGTTCGCTTGGTCTGTGAGCTTGAAGTACATTCTTTCATGTGGTTCAATGTCTTTGATTATTTCACCCCTATATCAAGATTTCTTCAGCCGTGGTCTTGATCCTTTGAAGAACTACTGGCCCATCCCCTTCGATAATATGTGCGAGTCTATTAAGCATGCTGTTGACTGGGGAAATGATCATTTATCTGAGGTATTCATTCTCTTCTTTTCTTGGTTCTTGGTTCTTGGTTCTTGGTTATCACTATATCTTTCTTCTTCCCGCAATTGTACTATATAGAGAAGTATTGGCTTGGTTTTATCTGTGAATTTGAAACTTTAAGAAGCTAGACTAACCATTGATACAAATTTGAGGTAGATTTGTAGTTTTAAGTCAACCTCTCCCTACCCATCGCGTTTTAAAAATTGAGGAGAAGTTCGAAAGAAAAAGCCCAAAGAGGACAATATCTACTAGCGGTGTGCCAACAAGGACGTTGAGCACCGCAAGGGGGTGGACACCAGGCGGTATGCCAGTAAGGATGTTGGGCCTTGAAAGGGAGTGGACATTGAACGGTGTGCCAGCAAGGACGTTAGGCCCTGAAGGGGGGGTGGAATGTGAGTTCTCACATCAATTGGAGAGAGGAATGAGTGACAATGAGGACGTTGAGCCTCAAAGGCAAGTAGATTGTGAGATCCCATATTCGTTGGAGAGGGAAACGAAGCATTTTTTGTAAGGGGGTTGGAACCCTTCCCTAACAGACATGTTTTAACCCGGAAGTGTGGACAAAGAGGACAATACAATATTTGCCGGTAATGGACTTTGTTATTATACAAACTCAAGCTTCCAATGCCATGTTAACAAACTTATTCGAATTAGAATATGTTATTTTTTCTGTATCATATGTTCAAAAGAATCTCCACTCGTTTTAATCAGGAAGTATGGAGTGTATTGAGCGAAATGAGGGTATGTTTGAGAATGATACGTATAAAATGTATGTCCAAAACAGGCCGAGGCCATAGGACAACAGGGACAGAATTTCATGGAGAGCTTGAGCATGGACACCGTCTATGCTTACATGTTTCAGCTAATCACAGAGTACTCAAAGCTTCTGGACTTCAAGCCGACCCCGCCCCCATCAGCTTTAGAAGTGTGTCCTGAGTCCTTGCTTTGCATTGCTGATGAGAAACAGAGGCAGTTCCTCGAGAAGTCAGCCACCTCGGCTTCTTTGGTCCCTCCATGCTCGCTCAACCGTGCCGGTAGCGATAGCGTTTACAGTTGGTTGCAGCAAGAAGAGACGAGGAAGGCGATGTAGGTGGAAGAAATGGCTGCAGGGAAAGCCTCAAAGTTGAAGTTTGTATGTTTTTTCTTCCATTTTAGAGTAATGTTTATATTATAGTGCTTTATAGAGGATTTATTGTGAGCTTGTGTAAAAGATGTATCTGAGACTCTGATCTCAGTCCATTCAAAGAGCCTGATTTGGCTTGTACCTGCCTTGCTTGATACTAAGTATTATTTAGGTATACAATGCAAGCGCACAACGCTCTCGTTCAACAAATGAGAGTTTTTTTTGGTGATGTTCGCCCCTTTTGTAGAACCCACACAAAAAGAACGATCGGCAAATAGCATATCAATCAGATCCTCCTCTCTAATTCACTTGGAAAAAAAACAAACCAAGCAAACAGTTAAGTCAAATCCGCAAGTCCACCGCTTTCAATTAATTTTTATATTTTATAGTAGTATCTATGTCATTTTTAAATTCACGAGTTAAGAGTTGAGTTAGGTTCAGTTAGACATATTTTTGGAACAACTCGAAAACTCGAGTTAGTCGATCAGTAGGCAACTCAAGTCATAGCTTTTGTTTGGATCGGATTACGTCACTTGAGTTTTCAAAGATTAAGAGAGTACTTTTGTTCGGGTCGGGTTAAGTCATTTGGGTTTTCAAAGATTAAGTTAGATAAACTAAGAAGTAATAAAAGATGACGGGTGATGGGCGATGACGTAACACGAAAATATTATTTATATATAAACCATTTTTTTTTAAATGCTGCCAAAACTTTTTGTAAACAATATTTGCTGTGTAAAAAATAATTTATATAAATAGTATGATCAACAATGTTATTACATCCATTAATACCAAAAAAAAAAAGATATAAAAATTTATAAATAAATAAAAAAGAAATAATTAGATATAAAAAGATATATTATAATTTCACTAAAATCAAATATGATATCCCATTAGTTTCTTTTCACAAAATATTCCACAGTTTGATTTAGATTCTCTCTTTTCAATTTTATTTTGATTTAATCTCAAACCCACTTTTCATTTACGTGTTGGACCATTTATTTTTTTATTTTAGTCCCTTTAAGCGGTTTAAATTTTTTCCCCATAAATAATTGTAATGCATTAATTAAAATATATATATATATATATATATATATATATATTGAGGGTTATTTTCTAATTTTCTAATTATATAATTAATTGTTTATCTCAGATTATAATAGTATAAGGTATGCACATTTTAAACGAGAATAATGCTTCATATAATTATCTTGATCACAATGTATTATTATATGAGTGAATATTTCACCTCTTTAATACAACCTACCAACCTTCCACGACCGAGCTATTAGTATACAAGTAACCGGACAACATACAAGGTTTGGATATTAAGAAAAAAACACGAAGCTAATAAAAGCTTTATGTTCTAAAATTATGTTATTTTAGGATTCTTCTAGATTGTTGGTCAAAAACTCGAAAATAAATTTTTGACGGGATAAAGAATTTTTGACTTCATCACTATCAATATATATTTTAGTTTTTTAATTTATTTTTAATTATTTTCTTTTATGTGTTTTTTCTAAAATAAATAAATAAAAATCATTGTCAAATAGGAAAATAACTTTTGTTGGTAAAGTTTTTACCACTAAATTTCGAGTTTAGTTTTTATTTGATTAATAAGTTTCAAAAAGTTATATTTTTACCTTTGAGTGTAGTTTTTACTTGGTCGTCAAGTTTCGAGATTTTACACACTTACTCCGAGCTTTCATTGATGCTTATGTTTAAATATTAATCTTTAGTAAATTAGACTTTTTTTTAAAGGTCAACTTTTCTAAATCTTACTTCGTAGGTTGAATAAGTTATCTCAAGTCAAATGAAATGCACGAGTTTTCAATTTAAAAAATGAAAATTCGAACTTGTTAGGGTACATTCACTCTTGAAGAATGCCCATGTAGTGTGGCTTATTGAGTCGAGGAGGCACGACTGGAGAGTTAGAGAACAGAAGCCTGTCAAGTAAAAATCTATTATAAGACAATGGACAACACTAACTCAGCTCAACATCACTTCGATATAAACAGTGACTTAAACATCAACCACACCCATATGATCTTCTTTCTTGTAAATCATCCCGATGTCAAAGCTACCTCAACTAAGTACTTACGTAGACCTATGACTAAATTCTCGTATCAACCCAACCTATCATATATATATATATATACACATATATAAACATCACTCTATGAGGGAGACAATAAGAATTTGATTGGAACATGTAAAACAAAAAAGATGAAGAGATTAAAGAGAAAATTAAAATGAAGTGGAAGCCAATTTTAAATATATAATTAAGATTCTAAATGTTTTCCAAAATATGTATTACTCTTTATAATAAAGATGGCATCTTCTCAAGAAGTCACTTGTAGTTTTATAATTTTTTATTTTTTTAAAAAAATATTTCCAAAATATTTTTTTAATTTGGTTTCCCACCTTACCAACTTTTCCTTTCCCTTTTTTATTTTTGTTGGAAGTTCCAATCACTTTATGCTTATGGGAATTAATTCCTAAATTAATTATTTTAACATTAAAATGAAAAAAAATTAATTAACAGAAGAATTAGAATACGCTAATCAGTAAGAGTAGTAGTCCCACATTGGCTAATTAAGAGAAAGATCGTGAGTACGAGGCAATTTGAGAAACTAAAAGCAAAACTACGAGAGTTTATGCTTAAGAGTGGACACTATCATATCATTGTGGAGGTCAGTAGTTCCTAATATGGTATAGTAATCATTCTCTTAACTTAGCCCTACCAACAAAATTCTCTAGAGTCGAACAAAGAAGTTGTGAGCCTCGAAGATGTAGTTAAAGGTGACTGAAACGTAGCATAAGTAGTGTACTTTGTTCAAGGACTCTAGAGAAGGAGTTGAATCTCAATCAAAGAGAGGCTCTATGGTGGTGTACTTTGTTCGAGGAGAGAATTGTTGAGGGTTATTGAGAGGAGTAGACCATGAGAGTTTATAGAAAAACGGTTGAGTTTGCAAACTCAAAATCCCAAATGTAACGTACCTGACATCATAAGACCAAACATATAATTTTTTTCAATTTTGAGTTCCTAAATTCTTAAAAATTAATCTCAAACTTGCAAGATGTTTGTCTAACTTCCTTACTTCAAAAAAATTAACTACATAATAACTCACCAAATACATCATGAACATTTGTGACTCTAACGCATGCACGTATGAACACATTAATACTTAAATCATGACGAAGTAACAATATGAATCAGAAGTTTACCGACCAAAATAAAGATCAACAAAGTAATAGTCTAAAATAAAAGGGAAAATAAGTTATATGATTTCTAAGTTTTCACCTAAGCATCACTTCAGAAATAAAATTTAATCAAGCAAAAATATTTAAATAAATTTTCTCCCTCCCCCACTCTCTCTCTCTGCCCATACTCTTCCACCTCCTTGTCTCCCTAAAGAACATTTTGACCAAAATTAGAACAAAGTTTCACATCACAAAGAGTCAATGGGCACAATTTAAACCGAAGTCTAGAGATTAAGGACTAGATTGAAATAACCATAAAACAATGAAGGTATGATAGCATTTTCACAGGACAAAAGGCATATGCTTTTAGTATGAGTGAGTGGAACAGTAGAACAGGATCACAGCGTGGCCAAGTGGAAGCACCCAAATTCGTGGCTTTTGGAAGGGAATAAATCAGGTGAGAAAGAGAAAAAAGAGCGCCAATAACATGAAAGAAAGAGTCTAAGCTCGGAGTCTTTGATCTCAACCCATGGCTGCTTTCCTGGTGGCTGAGTTGTTTTCAAAATGTATTACCAAAAACTTCCCTGCTGCGTATATATAAACATATTTCAAAGTGATCCAAATCAATCAACCCATTTCCCAGTTTCATTCCAATCCTCCCTTTTTCTCTTTCTTTCTCTCAATGGGAAATTACAGAGTTTGTCTCTGTTTCATTAGAAGATTTAAGATGTCCAAAGAAGAGCCTCCACCAGAAGTCAAAGACGCATTTATCAAATATACCGGTGGCACCTCCGCCAATATGACCGCCGAGCAGCTGCGGTCGTTTCTGGTTGAATTTCAAGGAGATCAGACGGCATCACTGGCCGATGCTCAACGGATTGTTGAGCACGTGCTGCAGCGGCGGCATCACGTGATCTCTAAACTCACGAGACATACTCTCACTCTTGATGATTTCTATTACTATCTCTTCTCTATGGATCTCAATCCACCAGTTTCTGATCAGGTGAGAAATTAGTCTCTCTCATTTCTTTGTTGCCTTAGAACTTGGAAGATTTGAATTTTCTGAGTCTTGTTCCTCAGATTGGGTAGGAGAGTTCGGGTTCGGATTTTCGAACATTTCCTGCAATCTGAATTTTCTTAGCCATGCTAGTGTTCAATCACTTACAGGTTCATCAGGATATGAGAGCTCCATTGTCCCACTATTACATTTACACAAGCCACAACACATACTTGACTGGGAATCAATTGAGCAGTGATTCAAGCGATGTTCCGATTATAAATGCACTGAAGAGCGGCGTGAGAGTTGTGGAGCTTGATTTGTGGCCGAATTCTGAACAAGATGACATAGATGTTCTTCATGGAAGGTGAGAGAATAGTTCTCATCAATGGAGTTCTTCATGGTTTCTGACTGAAGTTGAATTTGTAATCTTTGGTTTAGGACCTTGACAACACCTGTGGAATTTGTTAGATGTCTCAAATCTATTAAAGAGAACGCTTTCATAGCATCACCATATCCTGTTATAATCACTCTAGAAGACCACCTAACTCCTGATCTTCAAGCTAAAGCAGCTGAGGTAGCTATCTTTTTCGACCCCACGAAAGAGTAGTTCTGGTCAGGGTACGAGATTTAAGGGTCAAGATGCTTGTTTTTGTTTGCAGAACATAAAGGAAACATTTGGAGACATGCTGTTCTTTCCAGAAGCGGAATATCTACAGGAATTCCCTTCTCCAGAAGAATTGAAGTATCGGATCATCATTTCAACTAAGCCCCCTAAAGAATACCTCAGATCCAAAAATGTGAAAGGGGAGACTTCATTCAGTGATGATGAAACTGACGATGACGATGGGGTTGACACGGTCTGCTTTGCGTTGAAATTTACAACATTTTAGCTGTGTTTTTCTAGTCATTTTCTGGTTCCAGTATCTTGATGAAGTATACAACTCCATTGGGTTGCAGAGCGAGAGTGAATCCACCGAGAGTGACGACAGTGATTACGAATCTTACGCTACAGGTGTATCGGAATACAAACGTCTAATAGCCATTCATGCTGGAAAACCGAAGGGAGGTTTGAAGGAAGCTCTAAAAGTTGGAGCTGCTAAGGTTAGACGCCTTAGCTTGAGTGAAAAGGCAGTAAAAAAGGCAACTAAATCTCATGGAATGGATGTCATAAGGTAACAATAACAAGCTTACTTCTCCTATTATTCACTACTGTATACAATGATTTTCCAAACTGACACGAATCTTGTCGTGTTCTTGCTTTCAGATTCACCCAGACGAACATGTTAAGGATATATCCAAAGGGAACTCGAGTAAACTCTTCGAACTACAAGCCACAGACTGCTTGGTTACATGGGGCCCAGATGGTTGCATTCAATATGCAGGTATTTTCTTTTCTCTGGGATAACACGATAACACTGCCCTTTTCATCTAAAAAATAAACTTAGTTGGACCGTCGCAGGGACATGGAAGGTCTCTCAGCTTAATGCGTGGGATGTTTCGATCGAACGGAGGTTGTGGTTATGTGAAAAAACCTGACTTTCTACTAACAGTTGATCCCCATGGCAAGGTGTTTGATCCTAATGCAAATTTGCCAGTTAAAAAAACTATGAAGGTAGGCGTTTGCCAAATCGGATCTTATATCGTGTTTGGCTGAACTTGCTCTCAGAAAACATTATCTTGCAAATGCAGGTGAAAATCTACATGGGTGTTGGCTGGAATTTGGATTTTGAAAGGTCCCACTTTCATTTATACTCCCCTCCCGACTTCTACACACGGGTAAGTTTCGAATGAATGGCAGTCTAGCTAACCCAAGTCCATTGTTCTAGGAAAGATTGTTAACAGAACTGAGTTTATTCTACACAGATTGGAATTGCAGGAGCTCCAGCTGATGAGATAATAAAGAAAACAGATATCAAAGAGGAGACTTGGAGCCCTGTTTGGAACAAAGAGTTTTCGTTTCCTTTGACCATTCCTGAACTGGCTTTACTTCGAATTGAAGTGTATAGCTATAACATTTCAGATAAGAATGTTTTTGGAGGACAAAACTGTCTGCCCGTTCCTGAAGTGAAGCCAGGCATCCATGCTGTTCCCCTTTTTGACCGTAAAGGATCAAAGTACAGTTCTGTAAAGCTTCTAATGCGCTTCGAGTTTTCCTGAGAATACGATTTCTTTTCCTTTAGAAACATCTCAGAGGAGTGAGTTTTTTCTGTCAGCCGTTGTTCGTGGTGGGGTTCGTTGTTGTTCCTTGACCAGAATGAGCTGGATTTACATCGAATATGGGGTCTTCCACTTTTCTCTCCTCTTTTTCCCTTTCCTTCTTTGATGCCTCTGTAATATTATAAAATCAGATTCCTTCTTCCTAAAGAGTGATTATTCTTGTAAAGCAAAGTAGAGCCGCGAGAATAAATGGATCTATGAACAGAATTGAATGCAGCTGATCAAATATGTAACGGTCCAAACCCATCATTAGCAGATATTGTCCTCTTTGGATTTTCACTTACGGGCTTTCCCTCAAGATTTCTAAAACGCGTCTACTAGAGAGAGGTTTCCACCCTTATAAAGAATGTTTTGTTCTCCTCCCCAACCGATGTGGGATCTCACAATCCACCCCCTTTAGGACCCAGCATCCTCGCTGCCACTCGTTCCCTTCTCCAATCAATGTGGGACCCCCCAATCCACCCCCCTTCGGGACCCAACGTCCTTGCTGGCATACTACCTCGTATCCACCCCCAACCGATGTAGGATCTCACAATCCACCCCCCTTTGGGACCCAGTGTCCTCGCTAGCACTCGTTCCCTTCTCCAATCGATGTGGGACCCCCAAATCCACCCCACTTCGAGACCCAACGTCCTTGCTAGCATACTACCTCATGTCCACCCCCTTTCAGGGCTTAGCCTCCTTGCTAGCACATCGCCCGGTGTCTAGCTCTGATACCATTTGTAATGGTTCAAGCCCACCACTAGCAGATATTGTCCTTTTTGGGCATTACCTTACGGGCTTCCCCTCAAAGTTTTTAAAACGCGTCTGCCACGGAGAGGTTTCCACACCCTCATAAAGAATATTTCATTCTCCTCCCAAACATTCTCCTCCCCAGCCAATGTGAGTTCTCACAAAATCACTTTACTGAGCTAACAGCTTGCTGTTAAGAATTGGACTCTTAATGTACAAAATCAAATAAAAAGACTAAAGAATCAGATCCTTTGAAGTTCAAACATTACCTATATTTAGGATTTAGACGGCTCAATCGGACAACCAAAATTCTAGCAACAGCCTATTCTACAATGTAAACTAGGTTGCCAGATTAGGAACCACAGTTCCCTTTCTTAGAGTAAAAGCAATCTCTTGCTAGTTCCACAATTGCTCTCTCTAAGAAAGGAACCTCTTGCCATGAACACAGATTCCAACTTTGGCTGGACGTCATTCTTTAGGGAGTGAAAGAGAAGCTCCCCCCCCCCCCCCCCCCCCCCCCC